ATATATATATAACATACACTTTGCAGACATTATCTTGCCACTCGGATTTTTAACGAAATCTATATTTAAAAAAAAAAAACTACACTAAGTGTTTTTTTTTCGTCTACTGCTATTGTTTCATTTCTTTCTTTTTTTTTTCCTTTTCATCTTATAATTTTTGCTCTGGCTTTTTCTTGCTTCAGCATTTGTCCTATTATAAGCTGCTATTTCTTCTTAAATGTGTGTGTGTGTGTGTGTGTGTGTATCGTTCTCTTTTGTAATATGATCTTTTCGTTTTGAAATTCGAGTGCAAATTAATAAAAAAATAAAAGTCGATTTATCATTTATTTATTTACTTGTTTGGTTTGCCTTCAATTCAGGGTCATTGTCGGGCGTCTTAGCACGCATTACTTGTTGACTCTTGTCAAGGTTGCATATTAAGTATTCTATGCGTGTATAATAGGTTGCCTTCGTCGGATAAAAACAAAGTTTGACATTGAAAAAGAATTGTTTGTTTCGTTCTCTCATCATTGATAGACATTCGTCCTTGTCTAAATAGTTAGTATAAAAGAAAGAGAGAGAAAGAAAAAAAAAAAGCTCAAGGAAGAATGTCTACGCACATTGTTGAACGACTTCTATGTCTCGTCCTTATCAGATAGACATTTGTCAAGGTCAACATCAGTCGGGTATCGAAAAAAAAAGGAAAAAACAGATCGAATGATCTTATACATACTTTGCAGCTGATGATCTCAATGGCATATCACCTTGTAGAGAACAGAAAAACATGTTATTTGTTATGACATAACAAGGTCGAACCACTTGTGTTGTTAATTTTATTTCTTCAATAAAAATATCATTAGTCAAGGACTCCATACTCAACGGGCACTATATTTGTTTAAATGTATTGTATTATCCATACAAAAGCAAGCAAAAGCTGTTTGACCATATGTATTAGCAAAACAATAACCCGGTGAACAATTTAATTGACAAATAGCTAAATAAAAAAAAGATAAATATATAAATCGAATACTATTCATAAGATATATCTGGTCGAATATCTAATTCACATGTATTTCCTGTATAACCAGGAGCATATGTACAAGTATAACTATTTCCCGAAGCGGACTCGATTTAAATGAAGTAGCTTATGATGATGAACCATCAAAGATTTATCTTGGTTTACGCTCGATTATTTGCTTATTATTAGGTCGTCTTGTTGCTAATCATGATTTCTTTGGTCCAGGATATCCATCTCAACCAAGAAATGTTTTAGTTTATATTAGTGATAATAATGATGAAACATGGTCATTTATTTCATATATAAACATAGCTATTGGACAACATTAGCAGTTTCCAATGATATTATCTATCCCATAGGCATCGATAGTGATTGAAATACGAATATAATAATTCATCGAAGTAGGGATTATGGTTTATCATGGAATTATAATGGAAGCGATGATGGTGTTATTTTGTTTCACAATTCATGTGCAACAGGTCCAACACCAATTGTTATCACCAATCAAGTTATGTATCGTGGTATTTAATTAAACAACATAAGAAAATATCAATTAAATAGATTGCATATTTTACTTAATTACTTTCTAATATTGATATAGTTTTTAACAATTGAAAAAAAATAAAGTCTTTTACCTGAACCGCCAGATTTATTCTTTCATTCACTTTCAACGATTCAACTTTATTTTTTTAATCACAGGAAAATGTGAGAATTCATCTTTGTCTTATTAAAGGCATCGTATTCATGGTTCATTGTTCAATATATATATAATTCCTTAAAAAGAACTTTTTTCACAAATATGCGTAGTAGATGACTGAATTATCACTTGTATGTTTTCTTTTTAAATGAAATAAAATGATTTATATGAAAATTTTATTGAAACAATATGCAGTTGAACATGAAAAACATTATATCAAATGAATAATGCATAATTAAACTTTTGCACATGAATGAATAACGAAAGCAAGACAGTAAAATAAAATGACGAAATCATAATGCCAGCAGACATACATTGTCTTCTAACATAGAACACAATGCTTTTGAAGTTCAATTAGTCATTTCATTTTTATTTACTCAATTGTTGATAAATGATTTTTCGATCATTTATATAAAAAATAGGTATATTCCCGTTTCATCGACACTCCCTTAATTAGGCCGTTTCATCGATAGATTCGTTTTCCCATTTCCTCGACAAATTTCTTAATGAACAATTCTCGAATATTAATGAAAAAAATCTTTTCTTTGAGAAGTAAATTGAGTAGATCGCGGTGATACTATCCAACAATTTTAAAATGAATATTATCATTATCAAAAAGGCCAGATGAACGCTTTCTATTAGTGAACATGATTGCTCTTCACGCATAAGATCGGTCAGAGTTGTAATCGGAAGGGTTTTTTCCTTACTAGTACAGGTCTACAACCGCTGAACCGGATCGACTGGTATATACTGGTATGAGTCATTGGTCTTTTTTTTGACCTTATGGACGCTATTGCACTGCTAAAGCGTTATTCGGTTATGTTGATAATGCAACTCGATATGAAAGCGAATCGATAACATATGATAAGTATATTATGATGAATTTTCACTGAGCAGAATAATCTAATGCATTTTTCTTAACATAAATAGTGTTCGACATCAGTAAAAAGTTTTTGATCTACGAAAAAATCACTCTTTTATGGTCATTTTTCGAAACAAACATGTAAAATCTATAAAAAAATCCTTACCGAGCTGGTAGAGAAAAAGTCGTTTCTACCGACCTGTTGCCGGCACCGGTTACAACTCTGTCTGACCAATTTATTCTCTCATCATTTCTTGCTTCTTTCCTTGTTAGTTTCTGTAATCAAATTTGTTTTCTTTAATTAATACTGTTGAATAGAAAGTTTCGATGAAGTGGGAAAAAAATTTTGTCGATGAAATAGGAATGAAAAAATGTCGATGAAATGGGAAAAATAGCTAATTAGTCTTAATTCTTCGAGAAAGTGGGACCAAACCAAAAAATATAGGAAAACGCTAAGAATAATTTTTCATCTTTAATTTACTAAAAACATAACCAATATTAGATCAAATGATATTAACTTTGATATTTTTTTAAAAACACATTACACTTGTTCTTAAAATTTGTCTGCTATTGTAATTTTAATGATTTTGATATTTAAATAACAGTTTATGCCCTAGAAACTCATTCATATTCGTTTATTAATATTCAATAAATAATAGTTTTCGACTTTTAAGAAACGTGTGATAGTGCTACGAATATATTAGTTAGCGATATCACTTGCAATTGATTTTACTTTATTAAAATCCTTAAAAATGAAAGTATCAAAACTATCGTCGATTATAATAGAAAAATATTGTTTTCGAATTTAGGAAAAAGAACATGATTGTCAACATTGTTGAGATGATAAGAATTCGGAGCCTACAATTGAAGATAAATTGATTATGTTGGATAATGTAACAACCATTTCTCTTGAGATTTTTCCATTACAATATGAAA